TTTCCATTGGTTTCCATAGTCATTCCCAGTGGAGTGATTACAGGCACTACCTGCCTGGGAATACCCAAAGTAAGATTGTGCAGAGCCACTATTTAAGTAAGCATAATGCTTGTGGCCAAACCCCACAAGAAGCAGCAGCTTGGCTCCCCATGCCCTAGGAATCTCTGTGGGGAAGCACAATTGACATCTTGTAGACAGGAGCAGCTATGACTAATGGTGTTATGGGAAAGATCAAAACCATGACAAATTGTGTGTAAGGGCTTTATCATGTTTAGAAAATGTGTCATAAAGCTAAAGGAAGTATGGTTGTGGGATCCTGGAGAAAGGTTGTGCTGATATAAAAAGCAACAGGAGTTGCAAAGTAAACAGCCACCTAAAGAAAAGACAAAAGGAAATAGATCACAGGGCTATGGTTTGTGATTTAGAGGTTTAGAGGCAATTTTAAAAAGTAAAAAAAAAAAGATTGTTTTAAAACATATTCATTTTTTTTCTCCTCAATGCAACAGGAAAATATATTGCTTAAAAAAATCTGTGATAATATATAGGAAGCCTCCATACTATGCATACTTTTGCTAGGAATGGAGTAAGTAAATAGACCAAGGCTTTCACACAGGCCCCATAGTGATCTATAGCATTGTCAAAAGACAAATAGGGCCAGAACAGGCAAGCAAAACCTCTAATAGGCAGTGCAGAGCAAGAGCAGCTCACACCACAAAATGAGCAGCCCAACAGAACAGGAGGCAGTACTTGGGCAGCATCTGGAAAACCCAACCTAGAACTGAGGCACGGCTGCAGAGGTATCTGACACCCTCCTTACAAAATACAATATGAGGATACGAGAGGAGTAAATGCCATGGGGGAGCAAGGGGGCATGAGCTGTCAGTGCTGACAGATAAGGTGTTCTTTTCCTTTCACAGAGAAGAGGTGAGGGTTGTGAATACTGGTGCTGAGGAGGATGGTCTGGAGCAGGTGCAATCAAACCTCCCCCTGCTGAATGCAGGCAAGCTGTGTTCAGGGAGGTCTGCTCTTTCCATCCTGATCTATGAGCCAATTCAGGCACTCACCCACTTTGAGTCATGCAGCTGCCCACTGATTCTGGCTCTGTGTCAGAGATCTACAGTAAGGGAATTTGCTGGAGATGCCAAAATCTCACAGTCAAAGAGTGGACTTTTCTCCAAACTACCAGAAAATGCCATTTTTACAGAGTGGTTATTTTACTAATCAGGTCCAAGTGAAGCCATTGAGCCACTTCTGTGAGTTACTGATACTTATTTTAACGAGCTATTATAAAAACCTCCCACTTTAGCATAAGTGTAGAATACAGAAGCTTAAATTAAAATAAGGGAAAAGACTGCAGTGAAATGGAAAGAAAGAAAATAGTGCAATTAACCTGAATATGAGGAGAGAGTTTTGCCCCAGGGGAACTGCTGGAAGAAATTGAGAAGGAAAGGTGATTATTCCTTCCTCTGTTTCTCTGTTAAGGGCTTTAAGAATGGTAAGCTTTTGTCATTAAGGCCAATGCTCACATTTGACAATGCTGGAACAAAGGCATATACAGGTAACTCAAGGGAGAAACATGCTCTGGGGAAAAGAACAAATATTTTTTGGTTTATTGTGAGCTTCCTCCTCAGTTATAATTTCACTTCCAGACTCATACTTCACTCCCCACCAAAACCAAATAAAATGAAGGATGCACATTACTACCACTAAATTATTGACTTAAGATTGCTTTTGATAATGGAAACGAAATAGTCATCTGCATTAAATTAAGACAATAGATCTTCCCCAGATACCTTAGATTATTTTTTAAAACATTTATTTATGGAATATCAATAATTATTTCAAAATAACACTTTAATCTTAAAAGGAGTCCAATTTCCCTTAGCAGTCAATATAATTTCATAGAGTCCATAGACAAATAAACTTCTGCTGTCAATTAACTAAACTGGATTAGAATTATTATTAGACTATATTATTATCATTAAAATTAGGTAGTTACAAGCACTCAGTTGTAGAGCTCTGCTTCCATCTTCTAGACGTTATTACTGTTAAGTGAAACAAGAATATTCATTCATTTGAAAAATAAATTTTTAGAGCACAAAATGGAAAAATTCTGACTTAAATTACACAATGTGAAGAACATAGAACAGAGGAGACATCCTCCTCTGGCTCCTAAAAAAATACCATTATTTTCTTCTATTCATTTGCCTGTGCTTATAGCATTAATACTCTTTTACCTATCATTTCAGTATTTATCCCTAAATTTTTCACATAAAAAAAAATGAAAATAAGGAGCTTGCATTTTAAATGTCTTAGCAATATGCTTTTCAGCTCAAAAGAAAGATCTAAGTGAACAGTTTCTTTTGATATCTGTCTCTCTTGGTATTGTGTCACATCTAGCAGTGTGAAAAATAAAGTAAATACAAGATACATGTTAAGGAAAAAGAAAAAGGGGAAAAAATGGTTTCTGGTACAGAATAAAAGAAAATATGACATTTTTACTTAGTATTTTTAGGGGGGAATGAATTATTAGATTTCAAATTGACTTCCACTGAAAAATCAGTCCTTTCTGTTGAGGAAAGCTTTTTTAGTTTTTTCCTAGGGAAACTAAAATGGTTTTATGAAGACTGAAACAGAAATCAGTATGTCAGCAATCAAAAAAAAAAAATAAAAATCCCAATACCACTCAAGAATCCTACTGTAATACAGCATTTTGACATGGCTGTGTCCAGAGTGCCTGATTTTTAATCTTTTGGTACTAGAAGCACACTGATAATTTAAAACTAATTTTGTTCTGAAGTTGCAGATATCCCACGATCATGTAGGAGAAGAAATCTCTCTTTTCCTGTTTTGGAAACATCTCAGCTGACAACTCTTTAATAGGAATGTAGCTATTTTATTAAATATAATACACTGTTTTAATACAGTGTATTTTTTGTGTTAACCCCCACAAGAAATGACTAATTGCAATTTATTTAGAAATATTGAAAATCCTTCTGATGTCAGGAATTATTCCAGGATTAAGGTTGCAGCCACGCTTCTTTATTACCATATCTTATTGCCTACTTCATTAATTTTTTTCCTAAAGAATTAATCTGAAGAGGAGTACCATAATTTCCTCACCTTATTCACTTCCATAATCACAATCCTGTCAAACAATTAACTTCTAAATGAGAATTTAATAATCCAACTATTTTTGAATTACCATACAGATTAGCAGTTGTTCTGTCCAGCCTAGAACTTCTGAAGGAAACCATTACCAGACACTTGAAAACACAGTAAATATGCAGATACAGAATAACATTTCATGGTAGAACTACATTCATAAAGACTACAGAATTAGAAAAGAGAGCAATAGAAAACTGTTAATTGGAAATTAGCTTTCTTTCATGAAAAGTATTTTTTTTAAACTTTTGTAAAAAATCCCATAAAAAAAAAATTTGAACTGTTGACATGAAAGCATGGATGATTTTTTAAATAATGAGAAAGTGCCTTATGACCTGAAAACATACAGTCTGTCTGATGACAGTGCCACTGAGATGATAATGCTAAATTATTGCAAGTTTGCAGAGATAAACAAAGCCAATTTAATTTCTGACTTTCCAAAGGTATATGACAATGAAAAAAGAGAGACAGACAAAAAAAATCAGACACAAAAATCTGAATCTGCCTAAGAATCCAATTAAGTGCATTGATATTTGTAAACAAAACAACCCCCCCAAAAACCTTCCTCCCCTACATCACGATTTCTTTTTTCTGTTGAAAATTATTAATTGGGAACATTAATTGGTATGAACAGGATAAACAGAATTTGTTTCCTACTTCTAAGTCAATACAGATTTGGCATATGAACATTAATACTGTGGTGGAGGAATAATATGGGTAAAATATTTTTCTGCTGCTGTGAGTCACTGGGAGTTGCTCAAAGAAAAGGCAATTTCAAGATAGAAAATGGTTATTATGGCAGAATCTAAAGATATAACTGAACTGTACATATACTTGCTAATGCAAAGAATATATGTCTCAGCTCACATGTATGCACCAGGTAAATTATGAATAAATATTTATCAACAAAAATAGTACTGTAGGCAAGAATGACATGCAATATTTTTCTTCTGTCTGCCTTTGTTTTCTTCATCATTTAAGCATTTTGTCACTTCCAGTTAAAGACCTGAAGAGATAAAATATAAGAAATGCGACTTGTTTTGTTTTGGCCATAATTGCTTTTAACAAAGCTAAAAGTAATCAGGAAGATCCTTTCATACCATCATCCTTTACCATCCATTGAAACTTTGAGATAGAGTTCACTTTGTCATGAAGTCCTAATCTGAAAAACATTGCAAATACTGACACAATGCAAAATCTTGTCAGCTTTTTAGAAACATATGCTTTCCTAAATTTTTTTTACTTTGAATGTTAAATGCTTTGCAAGCTTGTTTAATGAAGATGTGCAACTTTTTATATAAAATCTTTCTTCAAGTTTATAATTGGGAGTACTTTTGAAGTGGTAAATGAACTGATTGAGTACCATGAAATGTGTAATTTTGATTATCTGAAAGATTTGATCATTACTTTGTATGGAAAGAGTTGACTAGAAAAAAAATCCATCAAAAATGACAAATTACAATTTTGATGGATAGGCATCCTGGAAAAAAACCAGCAAATCCAAAATCGCATCAAAATCCCACACTCGGCAGGCCTTTCTTGGAATGCTGTTATATTACGTACGTAAATGGGAGAAAATATTTGATTAGATTGGTAGTATCATCTCTGATACAGAAAAATATGAAAGATGAAGGTAGAAAATTTATTTTTGTTAACCATAATGTAACAAACAGCAGTTTCCCTTTTGAAGAGCAAGAGAGGGGGAGATGGGAAATGAGTCATTAGTAACTCTTAATGACCCACATTCAGCTATTATACCTTTACAGTTAATTTGTTCCAAACCAATCCTCACACCAACGTAAGATTCTCTGGAGCAGATATTAACTTTTCCAGTATCAGAAAATGTTTATTTAATGCAGAAGTTCCAAGCAGGTGGGGTTGCAAGGCAGTACTCTCATTCCATGCAGTACAGCACCACACTGTGGGGTGGTAGAAGTCAATCTGGAACCAAACTGAAACACATGGAAAGAGCTCAGGGAAACAACTTGGACACAGCAACCAAAGTAGTAGGTGACCTGGGAAACAGAGCAATCCAAAATTATGTGTAAGGAAGTTTCCCTGCATTTTCTTTACCCCTCCCCAACAGTTTGTAAAGAATTTTTGAACCATCTAGTACAACAGATGTGAGTAAATTATGAAATTAATTCAATTTAATGGAATGAAGCAAACCTTCATAAATAGGTATAGACAATGTAACCTCTTTACATAAAATCCCATAGTTGTAAGGTAAAAAGGTAAGATTGATTAATAAGTGCTCTTTTTTTAATGAAATTCAAATGAACAATAGAATTTAAGGACAAATTAAAGACATCAAGCATTTTTTTGCTTGATATCTTTAATTCCAGACTATTAAGACAATTGAGAATCAAGACAGGAATTTGAATTACCTAATCACAATAGGGCAAAACAAAGAATCAGTCCAGCATTACCTTGAGCAGATAATATAATATGAGGTAGCAACTGCTCCTTAGGACGTAGGGGATGCACAAGAAAAAACAGAAAATTAAATAATTGACTGTCACCTCCTTCTTCAGCAAGACCCTTCAAGACTTCTGTATAATTTTTGCTCCTGAAATTCTCACACTTTCCTGAATAGTGAGCTACAGAACCAAAGCAAAGCAGTGCAAGTGATCTCATTAAATCCTGCTTTACTCAAGTCATGACAGATCAGCACAATATCTAAATCTTTAATTCTCCCTACTGAGAGTCTGATAATAGAAAAGTATGCTCATCTGCAAATTTCTTATACAGATGAAGACACACTGTAATTGACTGGGTGACCTCTGAAAAATTATGCTGTTTCCACTTCTTACTTGTAACCCTACCAAGTATCTATAATTCTACAGAGCTGTGTCAGCATAAAATGCATGAAATTGTATTTAAAACTGTGACAACTTTCAGGATTCCCTATGTGCTTTATAGCATATTTTTAATGAGAATTTACTAATGTAAATTCATTAATGTAAATTACATTCTTATAAACTCAGGGTTTTGCATGTATACATAGAAAAGTACATACACACCCCTGTACAAGATCCCAAATTACTTTCATGGAGAAAGCAAAGCAAATTCCTGGCAAAGTAATTTTCCTGGGTGTCATGATCTGCTAGGACAAGCGGGGTTGTGATGGTTCATTTACCGATCCCAAAAGTGCAAAAGACAACCAGCAGGGGACTATCAGGTTAATCACAACACATGCACCTTTTATTGAGTGTCCATGGCAAATGCAATAGAAGGATTAGAAAGGAGAGGAAGGATAGAGAGGGAGCGAGAAAGAGGGGAAGGGGGATATAGCTACCAACAAAGAGGCAAAATTCTTGAGGTCCAGCCAATAGATCCGTCTTGTCTGTCGGGGAGAATTTCAAAGTCTTTTGTTAACTCAGGGGTCTTTTATAGTAAAAGACAATGGAGAAATGAGCCTATAGAAACACGGGTACAGACAATCCATGTTCTGAAGCAGGGCAAGTCAATTTCAGCAGTGAGCGAGACCCATTGTTTTCTTGGTCTAGCAAACACACCTGCAGGCACCACTTTGCAAACATCCTGCTTCAGCCAGGCCAGCACCCCTGTGTTCAGGTTATAGGGGTCTCAGTCTCAGTCCTTTGAAGGGAGCTTCAATCAAGGTGGTTTTCAGGCAGACAGGGCATCTTCCATCGGAGATCACCAAAGTTACCCCAGAAAGTTCATTTGGCCAAGAGGTGGAATAATTCATGTTATTGTGATGAGCGGGTATTGCGAAGCAGGTGCATAGAGCAAGCTGCTCCTTGCCAGGCCCTGCTCGAAGCAGGGCAGTGTGGCGACACAGCAAACACACCTGCAAACCATCACTTAGCGAGCATCCACCTCGCACAGGCCAGAACTCCAGTCAGGGTCTTCAGGATCTCAGTCTCTGCCATTGCAATGATTGTCAGGCAAAAGGAGGGGGAACTTTGGACCGTCTCTTACACTGGGAAAGTGAATTTGTCCCAGTAAGAATGATTCCACCTGAGATATGCCAATCACTGAAAAATTAAAAGTGCTTAAAGGTAGTTCAGGAATTGATCCGAAGAAAATGGAAACATAGGTCTTTTTTTCCTAGACTTCAGCCAATTGTTCAGGTTCATTATCCATTTAACACTAATGCCCAAAGCAAGTTGTGAAACTGTTGGCCAGTGCTGCTCCTGAAAAGTGTTAAGAAAGTGAAAAAGAGTATGAAGTACTTTGATTTTAAGAAAACCCAAAACCAACCAAACAAAAAAACCTCCCAAAAAACCCAACCAAGAAAAACCTTTAGGAAATGGCAAAAATGCATCTTACTCAGAAATCTATCTCTGCTTCACTATGTCCCTGATGAAAATCTCATTCAAGGATTTTCATTGATCACTTGAATCTCATAGGAACTGAGGGGACAAACCATTTTTGACAGGCATTTTCATAAGCTGCCCAGAAGATACTAGTGTCCATCAGCCTAATTCTTGGATCAGAAACCATTAATGCAGAACTGCTTGGTTCTGGACAATATTTTTTTCCTGAGCCTGACATGGTTTTGTGGGGCAATATGGGCAATTTTGTGAGCTTTATGCTGAAATTAATAATAAAGCAATTATTTATGCAGTAAGATTAGAATGCCTTGCAGAAAACAGGACCAGCTACTAATCTTGGATAGTCTCTTATATTTAACTTGTTAAGTAGTAATAATATAAATTGATATTTTAATGAGAAATTTAATAAAGGCATTCAAAACTTTACTAGATGACAGGGGAAGAACCCTGAATAAGTATATATATCATGCTGTGGCTCTGATTTAAAAACAAACAAACAAACAAAAAACAAGACAAAACCCCACAAAAACAAAACAAACAAACAAACAAAAAAGAAAACAAAACCAAAATCAAACTTCCTTCATATTTTTAAATTTGTTTAAAATTTGTGTACGAATATGTTTCTTTAACTAATCTATTAAATGTGTGGAACTAGGAAAATAGTATTTAGTCCCAAAGAAGCTTACATTCATCATTCATAGAATTCACCACAGTCATAAAAATACAGTTTTATAGAAGCACTGTGCAGTTCTACCAGAACCAACCTACTCACTGTGTTGTAAGAAAAGGGGTTTACTTTCCTTAAATGTAGCAATAAGAAGACCAGACAGTGCACAGAAAATGGAGAAAAATAATAAAAGGAAAGAACTCTCCCACTACACACAAAAAAAAGATAAAAACAAGAAAAGGAAAGGTGCCTGTAGGCACGTAGAGGAAAATTTTGTCCTCCTAGAGGAGCACAAACAAAACCATACCTCCCCTGGTTTTAACAATTACTATGTTCCCATTAATAGCTCAAGCAAACTGTACAGTGCATGTACTATCAAACCTGTTAAAACCACTGCTTTCATAGCTATTGGCTACAAGAGCCTCGGAATACAGATTCTTTATAACTGGAAATATTTTGAAAAAAAATTAGACTCAATTTTCATCCCTAGTTTTCCTGAAAAATCTAAATCTACTCTGGTAATAGGAAGTACCTAATAAAGATATATGACTCGTTATTTTCTGTACATTTTAATATTTTCAAGAATTTAGGAACTAAAATCCTGTATGTTCTTTAATAATATATTTCAAAGTAATGCAAAAATGAAATAAAGATTTATAAGTGTTTTCTTTGCAAGAAATTCTTAGCCTCTCTCCCAGGGCACACTTGGATGTGACTATGGGATGTATGAACACTGAAATTTTCTGGACATTTTGTGTGTCAAAACTGTTGAGCACTTCCTCCTGAAAATCAGCTCAACACAAACATTGAAGCTTAGGTAACATGAAAAATTCTGAATCCAAGTCCTTGAATTTGCTAATATTACAAAATATTTTTCATGCCATATGAAGGCTGTTTATGTGCATCCCTCTAGATCACAGCAGCAATGGCCTTCTCACTATAATTTTAAGCTATACTTTCCAAACTGAGATGGTCACTTAATTTCAAGATTGTTCTCATTTATTTGAGGAAGAAGGGGAGTGGTGG